TCTAGCTCTTCCCCGAGCTCAGGCTTTGAGAGCACGATCGGTGACATGAGATACTCTTTCAGCTCATCAAAAGCCGCTCGGCATTCTTCGTCCCAGACGAATCCATTAACTTTCCGCAATACCTTGAAGAAAGGTAAAGCGCGCTCGGCTAGCTTGGAGAGGAACCGGCTGAGGGCTGCCAACCGACCAGTCAATTGCTGGACTTCTCGCACGGTGGAAGGTGGTTGCATGTCCAGAATCGCCTTTACTTTGGCCGGGTTAGGCTCGATTCCTCTCTTGGTCATCATATAGCCGAGGAACTTGCCGGTCTGAACCGCGAACGTGCACTTGGTCGGGTTCAGCCGCAACTGGTACTTCCTCATGATCTGGAAGCACTCCCGGAGGTCCCGAGTGTGGTCGGACCGGTCCCGACTCTTGACCAGCATATCGTCGATGTAAGCTTCCATCGTTCGGCCCAGTAGATCAGCAAAGAGCATGTTGACCATCCTTTGGTAGGTCGCTCCTGCGTTTCGGAGGCCGAACGGCATCACTCGGTAACAATACAGCCCATCCGGTGTTACGAAGGCTGTCTTGCTCTCGTCTTCATGGTGCATCATAATTTGATGATATCCCTTAAAAGCATCCATGAAGCTCATTAGCTCGGCCCCGGCTGTCTCGTCGACCATCTGGTGAATGCTCGGTAAAGGATACGGGTCGAGCGGACAGGCTTTGTTGAGGTCCGTGAAGTCGATGCACATCCTCCATGCTGGGGGCTTAGGAACAAGAACGATATTTGCCACCCACTCGGGATAAACCACCGGACGGATGTGCTCGATCGCCGCCATCCTTTTGACTTCTTCTCTTACAAACTCGCGGCGATTGGAGGAAAGGTGTTGTGTTTTTTGCACGACCGGCTTAGCTGCGGGATCGACGGCCAATTTGTGACAGATAACCGACCGATCGATCCCGGGCATATCTTCAGGCCCCCATGCAAAGATATCAGCATACTCCCGGAGCACGGACAGAACCTCCACTCGGATCTCGGGGGTGAGGGCTCGACCGATCTTTATCTTCCTGTCCGGGCGGTCCTCGGACAGGGGAACTTCTTCAATTTCTTCGGAAGGCTCAGGCTGCTCCTTCCGTTCCTTAGCCTCCTCTTTGGCTATGGTATTCACCCGGGAAGATGGGCCGGAGTCACGTCTATTGACCGCTCGGGTGTAACACTTCCGGGCGGATTGAACATCGCCACGGACCACGCCGACCCCGTTAGGGGTGGGGAATTTCATGCACAGGTGGGGCATAGAAATTATCCCACCGATCTTCATAATGGCGGGTCGGCCCAAGATAATGTTGTGGACGCAATGGAGGTTGACCACAACAAATTCTAGCTCCGTTTGGATCGACTTTGGAGGCGTGCCGATCTCGACCGGGAGCGTTATTTTTCCCTCGGGGTAAATAAGAGCCCCGGTAAATCCTGACAGTGGTACACCGACCGGAGTCAGCTCCTTCCTGTCGAGGCCAAGCTTCTCAAACACGTCCAAGTATAGGACGTTCACACTGCTACCCGTGTCAACCATAACCCTCTGGACGTCTGTCCCCTTAACGTCAATCGTGACCACGAGCGCCTCCATGCCGTGATCACTGCTGGTAGGTTGGTCCTCAAGGGTGAAGGTTATGGGTTCCATCTTCTGCCTCTTCCCGGTTCCCCGGGAATCCACTACTGCGACCGGGCAATTAGTCCGCGGTCGGGAAGCATCTTCCAGCCCACCAAAAATGACGTGGATGGTAGGCTTTCCGGACGGGCGGCTACCGGACGGAGGGTCGGGGTCCCGTCGGTCATCATGACGATCATCCCGTCGATCGTCCCTTCTGTCTTGCCCAGATCGATCAGAGCGGTAATGGGAACGTCTATGATCCCTCCGCTCGGTGTTCCTCTTGTTGTCCTCTCTCTTCCCCACACACTTGTCCAATTTTCCCCTGTTAAGCAGATCTTCCAACAATTGGCATAAGTGGGTACACTCCTCGGTGTCATGCCCGACACATCGGTGGTAAGCACAGTGCTTACTCTTGTCAGGGCCGTCTCGATCGGGATGGGGGAGTTTGATGAGATTGCAGGACTGGGCGTATTGCATGGCCTCCGCTGCGGATCGGTTCAAGGCCGTAAACTCGCCAGGCCTGGTGCGGGATCGGGGATTGTCATCTCCCGATCGATGCTCCGCCCGGCCGGCCGGTTTACGGGACGAAGAGCCGACCTCCTGCAAGCGCTTTACGGCGTTCGCCTCGCCGGCGTTGGCGTAATCTGTGACCCTCCGAAGGGCCTCCTCGTAACTGGTCGGGGGGTGTAGGATGAAATCCTGATACAAATGTCCCGCCCGGAGAGATATGTGAAGCATGTGGGTGGCGGTCGCATCGTCCATAGGCTCGACCTCCCCGACCGCTGCTTTCCATTTGATGAGGAAATCGGTCAAGCTTTCCCCTTCTAGCTGCTTGGCCTTCTCGAGATACATGTAGGACTTCCTCACCACTTTGGAAGTGATGAACTTCCTCACAAATTTGATCGCCCGGGTCTCAAATTTATCGATCGACCCCGGTGGCAGGGTACGAAACCACTCTACTGCCCGATCGGTGAGGGTCGAGTAAAAGGCTCTGCACATCACGGCGTCCGAAACGCCCTTCAGCATCATGTTGCTGAAAAAATCATTCACATGGGCCTCAGGATCTGCCCGCCCGTCGTAACTCTTCTCCCCAGAGACCTTTAAGTCAAGCGGGTAAGGCTGGGCCATTACCGCTGCTGTGAAAGGCGTCTGGTGCAGGGTCGATTGGTTGACCGGGGGTGTTGCGGGGTACGCATTCCTGAGCTGCGCAACTTCCGCCTGGAGGTTATACAGTAACCCTCGGGTTTCGTTGAGCTCGGCGGCCTGAGCGGCTTGGGCTGTATCCCGAGCGCGTCGCCGTCGGTGAGATCTCGACCCGCTATACCCGGATGAAGCCTCGTGGCTAGCTTCCTGCATTTGTACGTCTTCTTGCCCGCGGTTCGGGTCTTGGGGTCCCAAACGCTGGCGCATCTCCGGTCGAAGACGATCAAAAGCTACCGCTCGGGCAACTTCCTCAGGGTCCTCCGCTTGAACGGCCTGAGCTGGTGCCTCCATCGCATCAGCACCCCCCGACCCCAACCGCGAATGAGCCGAGCGTCGAGCCCGGGACGCGGACTGACGCTGCGGCTCTACTTGTGCGGTCGGTTGTACTGGAGGGGCGGCGGCTGGAGCAGTATAAGCAGACGCATATGGTGGATAACCAACCGGGGAAGTGTAGCACATCGGTTGGCCTGGCCAATACCCATACGGTGGAGGTGGGACCGGGTACGGATATTGGGCGGGATACATCATCGGCTGCTGCTGGTATGACAGACCGGGTGTTGGGAATCCCGGTTGTATGTAATTCACCGGCTGCTGGGCGACCGGGTATGCATTTGACGGATGTGGTGGTGAGAGGTTGAGGTTGAGGTCCATCGTCTGACCCTGCTGTTGGGTAGCATAGTGGTCGGAGGAGCTCCCCGGATCCGCCTGGTCGTCGGCAAAGTTGTTGTGTGCCCACGGATACATGTCGATATAGTGATCGGGTGCTCGTCAAGACGTTGGTTTTCTTGCACGGATCCCCACATACGGCGCCAAAATGATACTGCTAATTCTACGTAAGCAATATAAATAACACAAGACCAAATAAAGCAAGTAAAGTCTTTATTGATCAAGGTAGAGGCCCTAAGTACAATCTACTTGGTTGCTCTGAGTACCGACTGAGTGCGGTCGGGATTCTCTAACAACAACCTATCGATCGTCCAAAAGTCCCCTACACTGTAGCTACTGTGGGTATTTATAGCCGCCATGCCGGGGACAAGATTCCAGCCGTTCGGCATGTCCTCCACGTAGCCACCACGTGTCATCCTCCCGGGTGCCCTGCCTGTCGATGTAGAGAACCGCCACGTGTCTTTCGTCAGCTCTCTCGCCAAAGGGCTACCGCTCGGCAGTCGACACCGTCGCTCGGGCAATTCCCGGTCGGACCCCGACCGGGCTCTTCTCAAGGGGCCCGACCTGTTACCTGCAAAGACAAAGAGAAAAGGACCAAGGCTTCTCGGTCGTGGTGAAGCTATGTCGGTCGGGATATTCCCTACCATAGACGAAAAAAAAAATGGTAAGTGAATTGAAATATATGTTATGAAAGGTCACGGTGCAGCATGAACAATCCGATATAGTTTATGGTGCGGGATTGCACTTTTTTATTATTATTATTATTATTATTATTATTATTATTATTATTATTATTATTATTATTATTATTTTGAAATAAAAGAGCTAATTAGTAATCATACGATGAAAAGTTTACAATAAGATCGATGGAATGATAGAACATTTTTACAATCAGACATTGAAATAAATTTTCAATGCTAAAGAAAATTTAAATTTTTTTCAAGACTGAAGTTGAATTCGTTTGGAGAACCTGAAGCTTCTTTGATATTATTATTATTATTATGGAAAATTGCACTTTTATCTCTAAATTATAGGGTAATTGTAGAATTCGTCCTTGAGTGTTGGTCATGTTCACTTTTTGTCCCTAAGTTATCATTGACGTTGTACTTTTTGCTCTGAGTTATACTAAAATTGTAAATTTCGTCCCTAATGTTTTATTAGTAAATGAACAAAAGATGCAACGTGAATGATAACTTAGGGACAAAAAGTAAGTATGACCAACACTTAGAGACGAATTTTACAATTACCCTATAACTTAATAACGTCAAGTGTAATTTTCCATTATTATTATTCTTTTTCTTGCAATAATTTTTTAAAACAACTAATAAGTTTTTTAGAATGTAGTATCTGTTGTAACTAAATCAAGTAACAAATCAATAAGTCAAATGCAAAGTGAAGAGTGAAGGACTAGCATATGATTATATTGCTCTCTGTTTATCGTCTCAACTCTCAACGCATCATCTGGTGGAAGTTGAACAGGAAGGAGAGAGATCAGAGATGAGTTACAAGAAGAGCACAGAAAGCGGCGATGAGGTTGAAGAGCTGCTGCGAGCCGCCGAAGACGAAACCCTTCTGCGCCTCACCATCAACTCCCACACTGCTCGCGGTTCCTCCGCCCAATTCATCGACGCAGACCTCGATCGCCGCTTCCAAGCCCTAAAATCCCGACCGAGAACCTCTGCTGTTCCTAATAAGCCCCAGAAAAAGCCTGCTCCCACGGCATCATCCCGGCCTGATGATGTACAGGGCCCCAAAACGGTTAGCAATGGTGATTTAGATGGTGCGGATGATCTGTTTGCTAGATTCACTGCGCTCAAGAGCTCCCTCCCCTCTTATTCGTCTTCGTCGGGGAGTGTTAACGATCCGGGAAGGGCGAAATTGGAGAATGGCGAAGAAGAGGATGAGGATGATGAAGTTGAGAAGTTGATGAAGTGGGCGATTGATGCTGCCAGGCTTGATCCTTCTCCGCCTTCCGATACTGATGATGATGATGATGTTCGCGACGATAGCGATGACGAGGAGGACGAGGATGAGGACAGTGATGGGGCTAAAAGAAAGACAAAACGTAAATGATCATAAACTGTATGTCTATCTGTTTACATTGCACCATACTTCTATGTGAGATTACTTCAATTTTAGTACATATACTGCCTTCTTTGTGCATTTTCTTTCTCTCTCTCTATATATCATGAAGGTTTTGTATTTTTAACCTGCTTGTTATGTGGTGGAAGGGAATGAGTATTCATTTTCACTTGTTTGGGAAGCAGCAATCATGTATCTGTTGTGTTATTTGGGCATATCAGATAAGAAATGTAGTTAATTCACAACTTTAGAAACTTCCAAGAGCACAAATCAAAATGAAAAAAAGAAAAAAGAAAGGACATTTTAGCTGTGGTTTAGTAGTATAATGCAACCATGCAAGTTATAAATGAACAGGTTGTTATAAGTAAACTGCATCATTCTCTGATGTTACAAAAACATGACAAAATATCCCTTTTAAGGAATATAAATAACTCAACTAATTCCTCAATGCCATTTAGAAGTATTTTAAAGAAGCTTATGCTTTTAAAAGTAAACCTGATGTGATCAAGGATATTAGTAACTTTTTGTTCTTGAGATTCAAGTGGTAAACAATTTTTTTTTTTTTTTTTTGCTCAAATTTTCTGCAGGCTAGTGATGACGTGATGTGCTATTGTTAGAACTTTAGTTTAATAATTTTTAAGTATTCCAATAATAAGTCAATTAAACAGAATTGACCTTCGGGTAATCGGGTTTGAGTTATTCTTCAAGAGCCAGGACTTCTCATTTCAAGTATTAGCCTCTCCAAGATTTTTTGCCATGTTAGTACATTTCCGTGTAAAACTAAGGATGCAATATGATTTCTGCTCTTCTGCTGTATTGTGCTATTAGTGTGTATCAGGGGCTTAAACAGGATATTTGCACATAGCGTGCTGTTCTGAAGCCTGATAGATTTTCAGCTCTATTTTTTAAGACAGGCTTTTTGATTGTTGATTTTGTAGCCATCTGTTAAGCGCATTGAGTATTTGATCAAGGAAAGTGTAGATCTTAAAACCATCTCTATCTAATCTTCCAGGTGTCAAATGCATGAAGTAGAACTTTGATAAATTAGATATATGTTGACCTGGTCATTAGAAAAGATTTTGTGGTCATTAAGCATAAGATTGCAAAATCCATATTCCATAGAATACATTACTTTCAATTCATAATAGAATTTTGGAGCTTACTGTATTTTGTATCAAACTTTATAGATTCCTCAGCTTGTACAAAATTTATATAGAACAAAAGGGGTTATTGCTTTGCAGCAGGTGGATAATTTCAACTTATCATTAAGTTTTGATGTTGAATATGTTGCATTATGGGATTCTTGTTTGCTTTATGGGGAATAGTTTGGTCAACAAATCTGAAGGGGTGGGGGTGGAATAGTTGATCCTCCACAGTTCCTTGTTTCATTGAGTCCCTGAAAGCAGTTTAATTGGCTATACTTATCTAGTTGTTAAGATTACACTTGCATCCACATACGTAAGTTGCTAACCATGAGCCTTGATTCTCGAGTTCAAGACTTGAAAACAAGTAATGTACACCTTCCTTGTGCAATCCTGTGTTGCATGATACAGGAATCTTTTTTGCATTGTGCCCTATATATAGTGAAATGATTGTTGAAGGGTAGAGGTATACTAGAACTATTCTGCATATGAAATACCATCATGAATCACATTTTCTTGTAGGAAAAATTACTATAATATCGACGGTATGGTTTACTTTTTTTTTTTTTGGGTACATTCAAGTGCATACAGCTGTGGAAGCTATAAACACATCTCTGATCCATTTACTTGTATGAGCTACATATCCCAGTTAGTAAACCAATTGTGAGTTTTTTTGTTTTGTTTTTTTTTTTTTTTTTTTTTTTTTTTTTTTGTTATATTTGAAATTTAATAAAAATGATGAAGTCATGAGGGTAATCCATTTGCTGATCTAAACTTGTGAAGTTTAGTGCTATCGACGGCAACTAAGAGTGGGAGTGAGTAGTAATGGATGATGGAGAAGGTGATGAAATGGTGCAATAAGACATTGACTGCCTGTTTGGTTCACGGAATCAATTTGGAGGGAATATGAATGTTATTTCATAGGGAATGTAATAGGTAAGGAATAGAATATGAATTGTATTATGTTGTTTGGTTCGCTGCAAGGGGAATAGATCATTTTGAGGAATATTGTTCCTAGGAATAGAAGTTTTTACCAAACAAAGGAATAGGCATATTACTGGGAATGCTATTCCATTCCAGGCCTATTTCGCAAACCAAACGTGCCATGATTAGAATAGTGATTCAGCATTCAACTCAACAGATAATGATTACAATAATAAAAGAGGTTTAGAAGACGTAAACCTCTCCTAACTATTAGGCTCTACTAAACTACCTATCTAGGACCACACAATTAATAACATATTATAAAGCCAAATAATATAACATTATTGACACACCCCCTCAAGCTTAAGGTGGGTGAGCAACTACATTAAGCTTGGTGCGCAGAGCTGAAAACCGTGGTCCAGGTAGTGGTTTGGTGAAGATATCTGCGAGCTGGTCTTTAGTGGATACAAAATTGACGACAAATTCCCCAGACGCTACTTTATCGCGTACAAAATGAAAGTCAATCTCAACATGCTTGGTCTTGGCGTGAAAAACCGGATTGGCACAGAGATAGGTAGCGCCGAGATTATCACACAACAGAGTCGGTGGCTGGCCAGAATGTAACCCAAGTTCCCGTAGAAGAGAGACTACCCAGGTGACCTCTGCCGAGACATCGGCTAAGGCCTTGTACTCAGCCTCAGTTGACGAGCGGGCTACCGTACGCTGCTTCCGAGAGAGCCAAGAGATAAGATTGCCACCTAGAAACACTGCATATCCACTGGTGCTTTTCCTGTCAAGAGAACACCCTGCCCAATCGGAGTCCGAAAAAGCATGAACGGCCGAGGAGGAAGACGGGGAGAGCCGTAACCCATAGTGAAGAGTCCCCTTTACGTACCGCAAAACACGCTTCACTAGGGCCCAGTGACTGTCTGTAGGTGCATGCATAAACTGACAAAGCCGGTTGACAGCATATGCTAAGTCCGGACGAGTGATAGTGAGATACTGCAGCGCACCAACAATACGCCGGTACTGAGTGGGGTTGTCATACGGCTGACTCGTGGGACTGACGGTGTGAGAAACCGCAGCTGGTGTAGTAAGTGGCTTACAGTCTGACATACCAGCTCGATTCAAGATATCGACCATGTAACGCTTCTGAGATAGAAGATAACCACCATCAAGAGGCAGAGTTTCAATGCCAAGAAAGAATCCCGGAGCCCCGAGATCCCTAATTTTAAAGGCAGCGGAAAGACGGCGAAGCATGCCGTCAAGTAGAGGCGTATCATTGCCCATCATGATGATATCGTCAACGTAGACGAGTAAAAAGACCCGAGACTCACCCGCTGCATAGTGAAAGAGGGACACATCTGTTTTTGATGAGTGAAAACCTGCAGAGATTAAGAAGTCATGCAGTCTCTTGAACCAAGCCCGTGGTGCTTGTTTGAGACCATAAAGTGAGCGTTGTAGATGGCACACATAGTCGGGGTGTGAGGAATCCTCGTACCCAGGTGGTTGCTTCATGTACACAGTCTCGGCTAAATGGCCATTGAGAAAAGCATTGTGCACATCTAATTGCCGAAGAGTCCAACCATTGGACACTGCTAGAGATAACAACAGTCGCACCGTGGTTGGCTTGACTACAGGACTGAAGGTATCGAAAAAGTCTTCGCCGGCCACCTGGTTGAAGCCCTTGGCCACCAGGCGAGCTTTATAGCGCTCCACCGAGCCGTCTGCCGTGCGTTTGGTGCGGAACACCCACTTGCACCCTATGATATTCATGTCAGCTTTAGGAGGTACTAGCTGCCAAGTGCCATTATGTAATAAGGCATTAAATTCTTGGTCCATAGCATCCCGCCATTGGGGATGACCAACAGCTTGTGAATAACATGTTGGATCTGTTACTGTAGTCAACGCATGAAACTCTTCATTTGTGCCCCGAGTCATGTGACGTAGTCTCATTACATGCTCATGACCTTGGGCCTGTTGGCGCCGAGGTTTACGCGTTTTAGCCGGTGCTGTCCTGGAGGGACCTTCAATGGCTAATGGAGCTATATCCAAGGGTTCCGGTGAAGGTGGTGCCACAGCTGTGGGTAGCGCTGGTGACAGTTGTGTTACTATGGGCCCGGCCGCCCACGGGACGGATGGTGCATTAGGATCCACTTTATCTGTCAGTGTTGAGTCTGTAAAAGGAAAGTTAGACTCGTCAAATCGAACATGACGACAGATATATACTTTTCCACTTGTTAAGTCCAGACATCTATAACCTCTATAGGAAGGAGGGTAACCTAGGAAGACACATGGTGTCGAGCGATACTCGATCTTGTGCCTGTTATAAGGACGAAGATACGGGTAACACCGACACCCAAAGACTCTTAGAAACGTGTATGGTGGAGACACTTTGTGTAACCGGTAATGTGGACTCTCAAAGTTTAAGGCAGATGAGGGGAGATAATTTATAAGACACGCGGCTGTCTCGAAGGCATAGTCCCAATATTCCATGGGTACAGACCCCTTGGCAAGTAGAGCCAAACCGGTTTCGACAACGTGTCTATTCCGACGCTCTACTTTACCATTTTGCTCATGCGTGTATGCGCATGATTGCCTGTGGTTAATGCCAAGAGATTCGAACATTTTGTGTAGTTTTTGATACTCCCCGCCCAAGTCGGACTGGATGGATTTGATAGAACGCGTGAATTGACGTTCTACCATGACTCGATACGACTCAAATACTTTATAAATATCCGATTTTACCCGTAAGGGATAAAACCAGCAAAATCGAGTACAGTCATCTACAAATAGAACGAAATATTTAAAGCCACTATTCGAAACTACTGGAGCTGGACCCCATATGTCCGTATACACTAAATCGAGTACATTTTGGCTAGAATGTTCTATTCTATCTAATGGAAACCGTGATGCCTTCCCCAT